GCCCCGCCGCCGCCTGGTTTCTGCAGTCCACCTTTTCTCCTTCGCCCGCCGTCGTCTTGTCATGTGGCTGGTCTCTCCTCTCCTCCAGCTCCCCCTCCTCCTGCCTCTCCTTCCTCCCCAGTGCCCCTGCTGGTAATCCCGGTGCACCTCCCCATGCCCCTGCTGGTAATCCCTGCCCACTGCGACCCGAGAGAGCGGTCTGGCAAACCGCTCCGCGGGCAAGACCTCGGGTCGCGGGGGGGGTGCCCCTCCGCGCCGCCTTCTCTGCGGGGCCTCGGCGGCACGCATGCCACAGCGCGCAGGTCGGGAGTGCCACTCCCGAAGCGGCACGCCCCTCTCGGCTGTCCAGTCGTAGCTCGCAGTCCCACGCAGACCGCGCTGGGTGGGGAGGCTTTCGCGCCAGCCCCGTCCTGTACGCGCGGCCCCTCCCGCCAAAGAGGCGCGGGCAGCGGGGCTGGTAGCCCCGCCCGCGGGGCGAACTCGTCGCCCGAGGTGTTGCGCTCTTTCTGTCTCTCTCTCTCTCTCTCTCTCTCTCTCCCTCTCTTTCTCTCTCCCCTTTGCTCTCTTTCTCCCTTTCCCTCCAATGCTGCGTTTGCCTTCCGCTTCCTCTCGCCTCTCGCTCTCTCTCTCTCTCTCTATATGTTTCTCTCTCTCTCCCTCTTTCTATGTGTGTGTGTGTTCTTTGTTTGTGTTCCCTCTCTCTCTCTCACACTTTCTCTCTCTCTCTCTCTCTCTCGTTCTCCATTTCCGCCCTTTATGCATGTATGCCGCAGGTCTCTCCTCATCTCTCTCTCTCTCTCTCTCTCTCTCTCTCTTCTCTCTCTCTCTATTTCTCTCGTGCTCTATGTGTTTCCGTTTGCCTTCATCTCTTTCGGTGTACCCACTCAGCGTATTTTACGTATTGTCGATGTACTCGCTTCTAAATGGGTTTTTCGAGTAGATTGTGTTGCCAATCTTTTTCATGGATGTTGGGCCTTCTCTTGGATCGGGTGCCCGCCGAGACCAGATGCCAGGCATCGAAGACGCTTGGACATCGCCAGCTCCCACCAGCTCGATTCCGCTGCGCGCTATGGGCATCCGCGCTGGACACCAGCGCTGAATTCCAGACCCAGACCCAGGACACTCCTGGCATGATGACATGGCATGATGAAAAAAGAAAGACTCGGGGTACGAAAATTGCTCTGGGGGCGGCCCTGTCAGGCAGACCTTTTGGATGAGGATGGCGTTCCGCGAGGCTCTCCGAGCGTTCTGGAGAAATCTAGAAGGGCCGCGGCTCCCGAAACACCCTGTGCACCCCACCCAGCTTCGTCATCATCCTGCTCTAGTTTTGCCCTGGGGTCCAGGACCCGCTTCTAGAAATCCTCCGCTATGTTTGTTCTCCAATCCGCGGCCCCAGAGGTCCCGACCCCTTCCCCAGTGTCAGCGTTTCGCCCAGGACCCATTTTTGATTCTCCCGGTGTTTGGTGACGCCCCCCTGTAGGACCGAAGACGAGGAAGTGCGGTGGCCCGGGAATGCGGTGGCCAACAACAACAACAACAACAACAACAACAACAACAACAACAACCACAACAACCACAACCACAACCACAACCACAACCACAACCACAACCACAACCACAACCACAACCACAACAGCAGCAACACCAACAACAACCGAAGTCGATGAAACACCGCCAGACTGAAGAAGCCCAGTCGTTGGAAGTCTGGGCTCCCTCCGGAGAATCTGCTCGTCACCGGTTTTTTTAATCATTGTTTTGCCGATCGGCGCGGGCCTTCGCACCCCCCTTTCCCCCCCCCTGGAGTAGATCTTGGCTGTTTGTGGCGCCTGTTTCGAGCAGGTGGAGTCACTCTCCCACATGGACACATTGTTGCAAACAGTCGCATTAAGCAGAGGTCTGGAGCAGACCCCCCCCCTCCCCCCCTTTCCGCCCAACGTCGAAACGCCGAATAAGAGAATGCTCACCTCCCTCCACGCCAGACGTACGTACAGGTCTCGGATCGAACCTCGATCCTGGATCGAACCTCGAGCCTCCATCCTCCATCGAACCGCCATCCTCGCTCCTCGATCCCCACATGCAAGCCTCCACCCTCGATCGTCGATCGCACCGCCATCCTCGACCTCCCATCGGAGCTCGATCCTCGATCGTCGATGGCACCTCCATCCTCGATCTCCGATCTCCGATCTCGGTCGTCGATCCTCGATCCTCGAGCCTCGAGCCTCGATCCTCGATCCTCGATCGAACGTCGATCCTCCTCCCTCGGTCGTCGAGCCTCGATCCTCGAGCCTCGATCCTCGGTCCTCCTCCCTCGGTCGTCGATCCTCGATCCTCGAGCCTCGATCCTCGATCCTCGATCCTCGATCCTCGGTCCTCGATCCTCCATCGAGCGTCGAAGCCTGCCGCCGCCGCCGCCCGCCGCGGCGGGCGCTCCGCGCATCGCCCGCGCGCAGGTACGCGGCTCTACGAGGGGCCCGGGGCCGACGGGGCGCCAGGCGGGGCTGCGTCGTCCTCGTCCTCGTCCTCGTCCTCGTCGTCCGCGTCCTCGTCGTCCTCGTCGTCCTCGTCGTCCTCGTCGTTGTCGTCCTCGTCGTCCTCGTCGGCCTCGTCGTCCTCGTCGTCCTCGTCGTCCTCGTCCCCGTCCTCGTCGTTGCCGTCCTCGTCGTCGTCCTCGTCGTGGCGGCGCGCACAGAAGGCGCCGTCCTGACACGGCTATATTCAAGTCGGGCGTGTCCCTCTACAGGAGGAGGGTTCGACAATAGTCCCGAAATAGTCTGGGTGCATGTTTTTTTTTTCCCCCCCGTTGGACTGTTTTGGAACATGTGCTGACTATGTTTCCTTCGTCTTCGATGTCCGCCTGTAGGAGGACAACATGCCCGACCTAAAGTTATGCAGACAAGGCCCACACCCTCTAAGAGGCATGGGGTGCTTCCAAGAAGCCTTCCCCTCCTGCTCCCCAAAAGACTCGGGGGTGGACAGAATCCCCACCCTAACGCGTCGATTGGTGAATTGTCCGTTTTCGGTTTTCGAGAAGGCGCCGCGGCCGCCGTTTTCCAGGCCTGCGCCCGCCAGGTTTGGGCCCGAGGTCGTTCTCACCAAACCACGTTTTTCTAAAGGGGGCTCTGCCCATCCCCGAAAGACGGGAGGGGGCTTTTTCGGCAGGCGGACCTCTCAGGCTCTCCGCCGCCTCTGGCGGTGTGCGTCGCGAGCAGGCACGCAGCAGAGCCCGTGCTCCTGCGCTCCTGCTCGCAGCGCACACCGCCAGCGGCGCCGGAGAGCTTGAGAGATCCGCCTGCCAAAGAAGGGTCGGGGGTGGCCAGACATCCTACCCTGACACGTCGATTAAGGAATTGGTCGTTTTCTTTTCGCGAGAGGGTGTCGCGGCCGTCATTTTTGCGGGTCCGGGTCCGTCGGTTTCGGTCCCGGGCCGTTTTCGCTAAGGGGAGGTCTACCAAAGGGATGTTTGTCCACCGCCGAAAGGGGGCGGGGCCGTGGGCGGAGGCCCCGCGGACGCTCCTCGCCGCCGCCTCTCGGAGGCCCCATTCCCCCGCGCCTCCGGGCACGGCAGCTCCCCCACGCCCGGCGCGCTCGCCCGGCCTCGGGCACCGGGGCCCTCTCGCACAACGACGCGAAGATCGGGACAAAATCGGATGGGGTTAACTCGAAATCTCTGAGAATCGGCGGGTTTGGAGGATGTACTGGGCGCCGCGGCCGCTCCAGAGCGTTCCGGAACGCTCTGAGAGCGCTCCGGAACGCTCTGGAGCGATTTATCCCGATCCTAGCCCTGTTTTATCTCGTCGACGGAGGAGAGACGCCACAAAGATGAAGTCGGGCCTGTCCCTCTGCACGGGGAATATCGAAAAATAGTCAGACAATAGTCTGGGGGGGCGATTTTCGGAATACTTGTGACTGATTGTGTTGGGGCATGTTGGGGGGTATTTTGAATTTTTCGTCCAAGTTCCCCCTGTGGGGGGGGGGACAGGCCCGACCTAACACAAACATGAACTGTTCCATGATCCTCAGGACGTGTGTTAGCCCAATGTGTGTTAACCCCATTTGGCATGTGTCGGCCATCGGTACGCCACGTGCGTCGTATTCAAGGCCTTCGATGGACCAGCACACGTGGGCGCTAACACACGTTCTGGGGATCAGCGAACTTTCAGCGCTCCGCTCGGATGTCTTGGATCGATCCGCGCTGGGCGCCTCCGGCGCCGCCCCTGGCGCGCGCCGCGCGCCGGGGAGGGGGGCCCAACGCGGATCCAAGCAATCCGCGCGGAGCGCCAAAAGTTTATAGTTTATGTTTCTGGCGTCTTTTCTCCTTCTACCTCGTGTCGATCTTGTTCAACAGATGCCTCCCGAGGATGCGGTCTGAGGAGGCTCCGGCTGTGATGTTTCGGGCTGCCGCAGATTGTTTCCTGACGTCGGATCTCGGGGCCCGGCGGCCCTGCCTGGAGGCTCTCCCGTGGCCCTCCCGCGCGAGCGAGCCCGTGCGTGCGCCCTCGCGCGCGGGCGTCTTGGGAGGAGCGCGGGGGTCTTACAGCAGCGTTGCGCAAGCGAACAAAATCCAGGCAGCGGATTTCCTGGCGTTCTCGCATGCACGCCACGCATGCCGCATGCCCTCTACTGCTCTGCTTGGGCTCAAGCTTTTTCGCCTCAACCATTCTGTGGCGCTCCAGTGATCGCGTCTCCTCGGCGCACGCCTGCTTGCTTCCGCTGCAGACCAGAGCTCACACTTCATCTCGCCCGCATGGCGCCGCACCGCCGCAGCGAAGACCTGGAGCTCAGCAGCGACAGCGACGCGGCCGCGCCGGCCGCTGGCTGGAGCACCGGCAGGGTCCTCGGCTGCGCGGCGCTGGCCTGTGCCGCTTGCGCCGCGGGCGGCTTCGCGGCAGGTGGCGGCGCCAGCTCGCCAGGGGGCGGCCCCGCGGCCAGGCGCGAGTTGCTGCAGGTGCTGGCAAAGCCAGCGCGGGAGAAGTGCAGCGACGTGTCCGGGGACTGCTTCG